GAGCTTGTCGTTTCTCAGATGAAGGGACTGGACAGAAAGGTCCTGACTTTGGCCTACAATTTCATAGCTAAGGACAAATTGAGGACCAGAACACAGACTCCTAATATCCATTCCAAGATTCCAGGATTCCCCCCATCCTCATCTGGTTTCTTTCATAAATTACAAAAGACCAGGAGGAGAGTTAACATCCGGTGAATGCCCGCTCTAAAATAGGAATAATTCTAGAAACTATTTGCTAAGCTATAGGACTTACTATGTGCCAGCACCCTGCTAGGTGCTTTGGATACATGTTGTCTGGGGTAAGTACCTTATCCCAGTTTTACAGATGAAGAAACTGAGGCTTAGAAAGGTTAAGCTGCTTATTTGATCTCTTTCAGTAAGGAAATTGCAAAGCCAAGATTTAGACCCAAGTTGGTCTGATTTTCCTTGCACAATGCCGTACATTGTCTTATTTCATCTTTGCAATAGCCATGCAAGATAAAAATGATTCCCACTTTGCAGATGAGGAAACTGAGGCTCAGTGAGGTTAAGAGGTTTGAAAAGGTCACACAGTTAAGTGGGATGGATGGACGCAACTCTGCTGGGCTGGATCTCGGGTCTGTGTCCAAATCCGCCCTACGGTGACAATGGTCTGAGTTCTCATCTCTGCATTGACTAAAAGGCTGCCACCCATGAGCTAGAGAGAATCACAAGCTTCTCAGGTGATACCTTTCTGCACAAATGCAATGTTGGACTCAGTTCTCCATCACTTTATAAGAAAAACCCAAGAAAATATTTCCCTTTGCTTGGCTGACAAGCCAAAACAATGGTACTGCCTCTGCTTGACCTCTGCTGGTAGGAAGATTATTTATCTAATTAGGTAAAAAGGCTTCATGCACATGAATGTTTTTGAACCATAATGAGCTGCTGATGTGAAAGGTTTGCCCTTGGCTTGGTTCTCCAACTGATCTTCCCTTTCCTCAGTGGAAAAGACCAGCAAGGTAAACAGAACCTCGTTTCCATGGAAGCCCACTCGCCAGCTTTTTCTTTCTAGCACTTGAAAAGGTAATTACTTGATTTCTCTTTATATTTTTGGATTTCGTGCAGGGGGGCTGTCACGCTCTGTGGTTGAGGATGGCCTTCTCTGTCATGGCAGCTATTTCAGGGAGCTTCTGTTGCATTTCCCTTTCCATCCTGTCTTCAGATCATTAGCTGTCAGGCAGCAGCATCTGTCTGCCGGTCACTCCTGCTCATTAGAGTCTATCAGAGCAAAGGGACTCATCCCCAGAGAAAGTGGGAGACACTGAGAAGCCAGGGAAATTTGTCAAGAGATGGGAGCCTCTGGTCACCACCGTCTTGGCTGCACAGACTGTCAATCCAAGAACCCTTATCCACACCAGGGCAGGACACTGTCCCATCTGAGGCCTTCTCATCTGAACCTTTGATGCCCCATTGTGGCTCATGTCAGAAATGCAGCCAGCATGAGCTGCTCTAATAACACAAATAACAGCAGCCACCATTTCCTGAGGATTTAGTACATGTCAGACACTGGGCTGAGCACTTTATATCTGTTGTCTCAGTTAATTCTCATGACATTATTATATAATCTCCTGATTATTCAGATGAGGAAACCTGAAGCACAGAGAGGTTAAGTAATTTTCCCAAGGTCACACAGCTACTAAGTGGCAGAGCCAGGATAAGGATACACCCACTCCTATCATACCTTAGGGAGGAATCTGGCACTACTACAGCCTCCCCTGAATAAATCATTCCATCATGACAAGTATAGAGGGTCAATATTCCTCTCCCCCCCACCCCAAGGTGACTCTATATGTCAAATTGACCCATGTTTACAAGGAGCTGAGTTAGTTAATTGTCAGGATCAATTAGAAAATCAAAACAAGGCACTTCAGAAGGAAGTCAACATAAGGCAGGGCAAAAGAGTTCCAGTGTGAGGCAGAGCAGACTCAATTTCAAATGGCTAGTACTACCTTACCAGCTGTGTGAACTGTGGCATGTTCCTCAACGTTACCAAGACTCAGTTTTGTTATCTGTAAAATGGGGATAATAATAGTCCCTACATCATAAAATCGTTTCGCATGTGGAATTTCCCAAGCTGCTCTGTGGAATATTTGTTTTCGGTGGAGTAATTGTGTAAAAGATAAAATTAAATGCAGTTCAATACACTCATTTACTCTAGGATTTCTCAGTCTTGATTATGCTAACATGTATTACAGATTTTCAGGAGGGAACAGCACTTCTTGATCCCAAAATCCTTTTCCCTACGGGAACGCATACTAGCCTTTGTTTCTCGGTACCCTTTAGAAAAGGCTTTACAACAGGTCATAAGGTACTAGCTCTTTGAAATAGGCATTAACAAATGTTAATACCATCTTCTTTATGCCCAAATTATTCAAATAACTTTATCTGTTCTTGCTAGATTTAAGTTCCGTGGAGTCAGGGACTGGGTCTGTTTTGTTCCTTTCTGTATTTGTGTCTTAACATATCAAGACATTCCATAAAAACGTGATGAATGAATGAGTACCTGAGTGAATGAATGAATTAACTTAGTGTAGGCCTTGCCTGCTTATCTTCATTGCCAGCATTCTCTGATGTTTCCAGTTGCATCGTATGAGGCCCATAGGAAAACCCAAATGCCTCTGCGAAACTTAGTAATGGGGCTGGTTCTAGTAGGCTGCTTCCCTTTCCAATTTTAACCTGTGTGAGGTGAGTGCCATATCTTCTTTTTTTTTTTTTTTGTCTTTTGTCTTTTTCCGTGTCCGGCAACGGATCGCAACCCTCAGTGTTGCCCCCGTACCGGACCGGGGACCGGCAACGGGATCGCAACCCTCGGTGTTGCTTCCCGCACCTCACTCAGCCAGTGAGTGGGAACCGGTCCGTATGTGGGATCCGAACCCTCGGGCGGGAGCGCCGCCGCGCTTCCCAAGCGGCGCACTATCCAGTGCGCCACCGGGCCGGCCCGAGTGCCATATCTTCTGACAGAATTCTCACCTTTGGCCCCTAACCAAATCATTTTGCTGCTTCTCAGTGAAGCTGTTGGATGTTTCATTTGTGTGTATATTTTGAACAAGGCATTTCTGAGTATTCCCAGAGGGTTTGCACCTGGATCTGAAGAACCTCTTGGGCTTTCCAAGGGAGTAGAAGAAAAGCAGCTCATTGAAGCTTAAAAACAATACAGAAGACACCATGTTTCTCCTTTCAGGAAGTGGTGATGTGGGTAGACCACCAGTCAGTAGTGTGACTGCTTTTGGGTGGTTCTCTTTACGTTTATTTAAAACAGGACTTTCAACTGGTGTTCTATGTGTATTATGCACAAAATAAAAATTAAAGTTTTCATTAAAAAATAGTTGAGTTGGTCAAATTCTAACAGATTTTCCTACTGCAAAACTTCTCAGAGACTGCATTTTGACACAGCATTTCCCATAGTTATCTGATCTTCCTTCTAAAGGCCTTCTGGAAACCTTTCTTCTGGAATATCTAATATTGTAGTTAGGCAGAACACACTTTGGGAAATTCTGCCTTAGAATATATAGCCAAATGTTGCAATCCAGTTTTCATGATCAAGGAAATAGTCCTTCTCTCCAAAATTGTGGAAATAAGAAGATAAAGTAATTTGGACTCCTGAATTCAACAGGCTGATAAAACGGCACGGCATAAATTTAGATAGATTTTTTTATGTGCTTTATAAAATAAACTAAAAAAGACTAATCATGATGCTTCAAAAGTATGGCTATAAATTTTCTAGTATTATTGTTTATATCATATTAGAAATAACTTACTTTGTATACCATTTCCTAGCATAGGTGAGAGTCTATTTCTTTTCTTTAAGCATGGAGCTTAAAAATGGCTTTTAGAAGAAAAGAACTTAGAAAACTTACATATTTCTTAAGCAACTTTTTGTAGTGAGTTAATATGTATCGAAAAGCCTATCTTATTTGAAAGCCACTGTTTCTTATTAAACATTTCTGTGAATAAAATAAATCATAACTTGCTGGAAAAAGCAGACTCAATTACAGTTTGAAGGGTAATGCTAGGCTTGCTTGGAAATAAGGAGATAACTTCAATTCATTGAATAGGAATCAGCAACCATGGCCTGCCACCTGTTGTAAATAAAGTTTTATTGAAACACAGTGGTGCCCGTTCATTTATATATTGTCTATGGCTGTTTTCACACTTAATGGAGTTGATTCATTACAATTGAGATCTTATGGCCCTAAAATCCTAAAAGTTTAATTATATGGCCCTTTACAGAAATGTTTGCCAGTCTGTTTCGTAGATTTATTGAAAGATGTAAAAGCAATAAAGATTACATAACCAACCCCTTCGATCTATAGATGGGAAAACTGAAACCAGAGTAGTTGAGGAATCGTCCAGGTTTATATATCCTTGACTGTTCTGATCTTTATATCCTAATAGCTCTCATCAACAGGGAAGAAAAGAATTAATTTCAACTTAGATGCCAACACCAACGGATTGGAAATAGCCATCTGGAGGGCTGGTTGAGAAGGTCTCAGTGATCAATGAAAAGCAATGCAATGACTAACTAATCTTCCATGGTCCAGGGCTGGGAGTGCAGCTGGATTTGGGCCATGTATGCACTGAGGATATACACTGTGTTGCTCCCTACATTTCTCATTGCTATATTGCCATCTCCTTCCTGTATAGAGAAGTATATCTGCAGTGTAAGCACTTCCCTCATTGGGCCAAAACAGAGGTGTTGCCTCAGGCCCTCATCAGAAACACTGCTGTCTGACAGTTCAGAAGTGATTGTTGATTCTTGTTCAAGGTCGTTCAAATGTCTCTTTTACTGCTACCACATCATTCTCTGCCTAGAGGAATTTAACTTGAGATTTCACTCAAACTGGATTTGCTGGCTTTAAGAATCTTTTTTAATGACATATGTCCATGGAGCCCAGAGTGCGGGGTGTAAAGTAAAACGTCATGAGTTTATTCCCTTTTGTGACCTAAACTGAAAGTCTCCATGTTTGTCTTTTGTACAGCTGGACAATCCAGATGAGCAAGCAGCCCAGATCAGACGAGAGCTGGATGGACGTCTCCAGATGGCCGACCAAATAGCCAGGGTAAGGAGACTTTGAGGACATTTGCTGGGAATCAGACCAAAGTCTCCCCACCCCCACCCCCCGGAAGCATACTGATTATTACAGACCTTTAAAAGATAATGGTGAGGAGCAGCAAGAAGGGAAGATGAGGACTGTCACACTGACTGGGCCCTCAGTCCTCCTCTCTCAAGGCGAGCTCTCCCAGAGACACCCCATGCACTTCCTAGGCCCCAGTGAGTAGCCAAACTCAGGTCTTCACCTTTCTTCTGAGCTCCAGACTCATATTTACCACTGTCTACCGAATGTTTCCACTCAGACGTTGCCCTGGCTTTTCAGTAGACTGTTTTCACAGTCTGGATCTTTGTCTTTCTCCTCCCACCCCAAATGCATGCCTACATTTACCCCTCTTCAGGTATTCTGTGTTCAGTTACTACAGATGAGACCTGCTTGTCATTGTCAATTTCTCCTTCCTCCCCACAACACTCCACACTGAGTCAGCCACCAGCCTCGTTGACTCTGCCTCCTAAAGGTGGTCAGAGATCTCTGGTCTGCTTCCCAGCCTGACTGCTAGCACTTTCATCCAGGCCCTCGTTCTTAGCACCAGGATGTTACTGCAGCCTCCTAATGGGTATCCTTGGCACCCATCCCCTCCTCTTCGATCCATCCTGCACAGAGTTGCCATCTTAAAAAGCATATATGAACGTCTCAAAACAGAGCCTCAAAATCCTTCAATAGATTCTCCCATTGCTACCAGAATAACGTCTAATCTCCTTAGAATGATATTCAAGGCTCTTATTAGCTTTGCCTCCCACAATTTTCCCACCAGAACTCCCCAGGTCAACTACTGAGAATGTTTCCCTCTGAATATACCAGGCCCTTTCCAGGCTCAGTGTCTTTGGACCCACTGGTGTCTCAACCCAGAATGACCTTCATTCTCCCCTTCACCTAGCAAGCTTACCTACTCAGCCTTCAGTACCTGACTCGAAACACCTTCTCTGAGAGCTCAGCAGTTAGTCCTTTTCACCTTTGTGCTGTCATCATACTGCACATAGAACTTGATCTTAGCAGCTCATTGAGTTGCGATCATTTGTTTACATGTGTGAGTCTCCTGGTACATAGGAATCATCTGGGTTTGGAACTTTTTCTTATTGTTGATGACAATAGCTAAGTGTTATCTGCTATTATTGTTGTCGCGGCCATTTGTGTTATTATGAATAGTAGTAATATTGGTAGTATTTATTGAATGCTGACTTTGTGTTGTGTATGCTAAATGCTTTATAAGTACCATCTCAGTGAATCCTCAAACTGGCTGCTAGAGACAGTTCAGTTATCATTCTTGTTTTAGAGATGGGGAAATCCAGGCTGAGCACAGTAGGCACTAGCAGAGAGGCTGCACTGGACCCTCAGCTCAAGTCTAAGTCTAAGGGCTGACACTAGGCTAAGACACCTTAAGTGCAAAATTTAAGAGGGCCTCCAGAAACTCAGTAATCAAAGTAAATATTATTTTAATGACATATTTTCTTGAAAATTTGAAATAACATCAAAAAATCCATGAAGAACAAACAAAAAAATCAAAATTTAAACAGCCGGCTCCTATTGGTTTCCACTGTAGCCACAGGCCACGTGTGCATGTGAGGGTTGGGGGCTGTCAGAAATGGCAGAGAGGATGCACACAGAGCAGGGAGAAAAAAAGCATTCAGACTTTCTCTTCGTGGAGAGAGGTATCTCAGGATTTGAACATATAGGAAAGATCCTACTGGACGAGAAACCAAAGAGAGATTCCAAAAAGTATGAAAATCCCTCTGTTTGTGCTCAAGCAGTTCTAAAAATGTTTTGCATCCTGTTTTTGGACACCTTTAAAGTTTATAGTCAAGTCAGTCTGGTGGCTAAAAATAGTATGCAGTTATGGATTTAGCTAAAAGTAATGTAAAAGGCTCTTGTGTTTTCAAAATCCTGCCTAATGTGGGAGTAAACATCAATAAGGCTTTAGAATTTACTTTCTCCTGTAAACTCATTGTCTCCTATTAGTGGATTATCCAGAAAATGGAGGTCATTTGGCCCATTTCCCTGCCTTTAGGCAACTATTACATCCCCAACTAATAAGTATTCGTCCCATCAAAGTGAAATCACATACGCACTTCAAAAACAATCTCATGGCACCTTTATTTTAGTTGTCTTGTTTACTTTGAGATTTAACATGATAAATTAAGAACTAGTGTTAGACTAATTTTAATTTTTAAAAGACTAAACATGAATGATTGGTATATAGTGAACCAAGATGCTCATTTCTGAATAGTAGCTCAAGAACCACATTCTCCCCCAACCACACCACTAGATATAATGATTCTAAGCAGGATATTATTAACAACTTGGAACTTGGCTTTCTTAGATAACAAAATAGGAAAGTAAAGTGAATCTTGGATATGCCTTACAGAGAGTAATTTCAAAATGTATGTAGGTTCCCCCAAACATTTAGGGTACTGAGGATTTCTATGAGATGGTCTGCTCACTATTTCCAGTTCTCTTAGAAATGGACTCTTTTCTTCTGTAGTGTTCATCCATGCCAGTGACTGCCTTGCCAAGCTAGGTGGTACTGGAGTGAGCTCCTCACCCGAGGGGAATCAATCACAGTTCCCAGCCCATCCTGGGCACAAGTGATTGGTCCAGAAATGGACACCTGATGCAAAATAAACCAATGAATCCCTTCCCTGGGGCCTGTGGACTGCGAGCCAACAAGTCTGTGTCTTTCAGTGGTAGAAAAGTGTCTGCAGCCATGTTCAAGCCTTCCATGTAGGGAAAAGAAGATGAAAGAATGAACACAGAGACACAGAGACAGAAAATACACTGAGATGCCAAGGAATGCTCAGGATGTTTCAGTTCCAGTTATTCTTGAGCTTCATCTGTGTTTAGTTGGATTCCAAGAAAAATAAATTTCTCCCTTTGCCTAAACCAGCCTCACTAATACTGAGGAAAACTTCAAAATATCTCATCCACTGAAAATTGAATAAGATACCAAGATCTCAGATATTGGCTAGATCATGGGGAGATATTGAAACAAAGCACCTCTGCTTATCTTCTTTTAGCCTGCCCTGATTTTTCTATTTCTAGCATCACAGTGAATTTTAGTGAGGATGTGCAATTCAACCCATATGGCTGAAAGTCAGCTCCAGTAAATATCATAACCAGAAATTCCTGGATATAGATGTCATCCATCATACATAATTCACTCTGTTCTCTGAATTAAAAGATGGGTAGACCACTTTCAACAGCTAATAAGAGGCCCCAACTTGAAAGAATTGATTCTAGGGATCAAGCGATGTCTCGCAGAACCCACATTACAGCCAGAACCCAGGAAAGAACAACTAGGGGTCACAGAGGGGTCAGGACTTTCCTGCCATCTCCCATCTGTGTGTGTCACATTCATTATCCTTTCTTTCTCTGCAAACCAGCTTTCCTTGCTCCTCAGGTAGAAAGCATGGCTGCTTCATTGCTCTACGTGTTTCTGACACGGCCAAATAGGGAATCATTCAGTCAATGAGCCTCTTCTCAAATCTTTCTCCTTCTCTCTCCTTCCCTCTCTCACTACTCCTTTCAAATACACAATTCCAAGAGTCAGCCCTCTGATTGGCCCAACTTGGTCCACCAGCCAACCCCTGGTGCAATCAACCAATACACTGAGGAAAAGAGGCAAGGGTCTTATTGAATACATGGCTACTGAGATATATCACTTGAGGTGAAGAGGTAGGGCTGTGGGTGGAGAGGTCATTTTGAATTGGGAGACATTCCAGGTGTACCCAATACTAATAAGTATCTTTTACAGAGCATTTACTATATGCCAGACTCTTTTATAAGCAATTCACATTTGATACCCTGTCTAACCCTCCAACAACCTTATAAGAAGGGTACCATCATTATCCCCATTTCATAGAAGATGAGGCTAAAGCAGAGACATTAGACAACTTGGCCAAGGTCACTTAGTGATCAGAATGTGCACTCTTAGATGCATACCACCATGGCAAATATCTCCTCAAATACAGTCCCTCATTTTCCTTATCACTGTAATCTGAGGATCTAACATGCCCTTCACCAGGCTTTCACCTCTCCTCATCCTAATCTCTCTCTCTGCTAATCAGTTCTTTATTAAATAGGCGCTGGCTATGCAATTTCATGTAAACCTTCATTTAGGCCTGTGATGGGCAATCCCCAGAGTTACAATAATTCTTCCCACTTTAGCAAATCAAACAGTTTAAATGATGTACCTGAATTCACTAAGCTAGTAAGCAGAAAGCTGAGTCCTCTAATTCCAAGTTCATGGCTATTTCTTTTGAGTCCTCAAATGAGAGGCAGGAAGTTACTCCAGGACTGTCCCCCAATTACTTATAAGCAATTCACATTTGATACCCTGTCTAACCCTCCAACAACCTTATAAGAAGGGTACCATCATGATCCCCATTTCATAGAGGATGAGGCTAAAGCAGAGACATTAGACAACTTGGCCAAGATCACTTAGTGTTCAGAATGTGCACTCTTAGATGCATACCACCATGACAAATATCTTCTCAAATACAGTCCCTCATTTTCCTTATCACCGTAATCTGAGGATCTAACATGCCCTTCACCAGGCTTTCACCTCTCCTCATCCTAATCTCTCTCTCTGTTAATCGGTTCTTTATTAAATAGGCGCTGGCTATGCAATTTCATGTAAACCTTCATTTAGGCCTGTGATGGGCAATCCCCAGAGTTACAATAATCCTTCCCACTTTAGCAAATCAAACAGTTTAAATGATGTACCTGAGTTCACTAAGCTAGTAAGCAGAAAGCTGAGTCCTCTAATTCCAAGTTCATGCTATTTCTTTTGAGTCCTCAAATGAGAGGCAGGAAGTTACTCCAGGACTGTCCCCCAATTAAATTTCTTCCTGATGGTTTCCTCCAGGAAACTGGTTTCTTTCTTCAACTAAAATTTGCTGTGTATTCCCTTCAGTTTATCCAGAAGCCCAAATGAAGCGGTAGCATTAGGCGGA